TCAATGGAAAGCTTATTTATTCAGCTTTCAGATGATGTATAAATCTCAATTTCATAAAATTGACCCTTATGACTGGTTTTGTGGTCCAGGGTCACATATGCTCGTTGATTTGTTCCCGTCGTCTATAAGACCCGGCAGACACACACGTGCCGCTCAAGTGTTCCTGATGTGCACTGATTCCATGAAAATGAGTTTACGTCGCTTGTAGCCTCAAGCTGCAGAAACATTGCTTTTCAATTATGGAAAGGTGTTGCAATTCTGTTGCGAGAGTTGTAAACCTTTATTAAATGTATTATTGAGACTGTTTGTCTGCTGTCCTTTTGCTTCACCTGTAGTATCAGCAGAAGTGGAGCACACCACACCAGCACCCAGTTCTTCTTCGGTTCCTCTTCAGATGCAGCTGTTCTCATCTCCAGACTACAGGTTGCCTCTGGATCCCAGCAGCAAAGTTCAGAGTGACAAGAGGGTCTATGCGGAGGTATATGATTCTCAGGGCTCATATAGTCTACATTTATTGTAATTATTCTGTGGAGATTTCTGCATGACCCATATTTGCAGCTTTCAGTAACAGGCATGTGATCAGCTACGAACAAAATAATAGTTTATAATAGTTTTCAAATGTACATAACCCAAACTCACAGCGTTTGCAGAGATGAAATCATTAAAGGGATAGTTCACCCAAAAATGAAAATTCTGTCATTAATTACTTACCCTCATGTCGTTCCAAACCCATAAGACCTCTGTTCCTCTTCGGAACACAAATTAAGATATTTTTGATGGAATCTGAGAGCAAAATGGCACCAGGATGACGCAGAGGAGACGAATTGTTGAATAAAGTTATTTTTTTTCTTTTGCGCACAAAAAGTATTCTCGTAGCTTCGTAATATTACGGTTGAACCCCTGATGTCACATGGGTTATTTTACCGATCTCCTTACTACGTTTCTGGACGTTGATCCTATAAGGACCCTTGCTGTCTATGGGAGGGTTAGAGAGCTGTCAGAATGCATCACAAATTTGTGTTCCGAAGATGAACGGAGTTCTTACGGGTTTGGAATGACATGAGGGTGAGTAATTAATGACAGAATTGTAATTTTTGGGTGAACTAACCCTTTAATGAAATCATATTTCTGTTTGGCTGATGAGTGACTTTTATTTTGACATCCTTTTTTAAACAACTTCAAAAGTGCTTTCAACAGTATAAATCTGTTTATTGCCTATCAAGGTCATTTCCAAATGATTTATTTCTAATTTAATAATAAAAATAAAAAAAATCACTGCAGCATATTAATTACTATCTTTAAACTAAATACTGTGATATCATGTATGTCAGCTTTATATCAACATCTGCAACCAAAAAAAACATATCAGTCAACAACTAAATGGCCACATAATGGCATAAAATGAGCTGTCCACAGGATTTCTGAAACATATGAATTATTAGGAAATTTATTTCTAATCATATTCACTCAAAATAGTCTAAAAACAACTATCAACCAATGACAATAATATAAAATGCTCAAATATTGTCCAGATAACCTTATATTTACACAATTCATGTGGCTCATACATACTTCAGAAATACTGAATTACAGAAAAATCCCATCCCTGCATTAAATGGTCTTTATTGTGCTGAAGCACTCTGTATACCCGGGTATCATGGCAAACACCATAGAAAATGATTGAGGTTCTGATATACAAATGCAACAATACAAATACAAACACCAATGCAAACACCTCAATTTGTTAAAACATTTATTCTTTCTCTATACCAGATCTCAAGTGAGAGCTACGGAGAGTTTTCCTTAAGCATTAAGGTCAGCAGCTGTTGGGTTCGCTCCATGCCAGTGGTGAGGAAAATGCCGTTCAAAGAGGAGGCATGCTACATTGAGGACTGTCCTAAGAGACTCAGCTTCTCCTTCGAGATGCTTCAGGACCTGCCGTCCAGCTCGTGGGACCTCGAATGTGCAGTTAAACTTTGTTATGACAGTAAAAAGGTTAGTGGAGTTCTGTTTTTCAGACAGTGTAAAACACTCTTTGCAAAGCCCATATTACACAATCATCTCTTGTTGGTTTCTTTTGTGATTTTAGTTTTGTACAAACGAAACACAAGTCAAGAGGAGCTTGCAGGTCAAGCCATATATCTCAAACCAAAGTGAGTACAAGCTAATTTCATCTCAGTGCAGCAAGAAAAATCATACTAAATGTCCATTTGAAAGTTTTTTAATTATTGGCATCAGCTGATATTTTTATTCTGTTTGGCTGATAAGTGTCAGACTTTTATTTTGACATCCTTTTTTTTTCAACTACAACTTCTTAATTTGTGAAAAATACTATAGTAGGATTTGCTGAATCAAGAAATCTCTATCTAAAGAATAAATCTGTTTATTGCCTATCAACGACTTATTTTTAATTTAGTACAAATAAAAATTTCACTGCAGTATGTTACTTACTATCAAATACTGTGATATCATATCAGCTTTATATCAACATCTGCAATCAAAAAAATCCATATCAGTCAACCACTAAATGGCCACACAATGGCAGAAAATGAGCTGTCTACAGAATTTCTGAAACGTATTAACTGATATGAAATTTGTATCTAATCATCACTCAAAATAGTCTAAAAGCAACTATCAACCAATGACAATAATGACAATACCAATAATTAAAATAATAAAATGCTCAAGTATTGTCCAGTTAATCATTGCTTATTGTGCTAATTACAGCAATAAACCATTCAAAAGGTAGAACATCCTTAACACACTTTCATAGCTCAAGCTGGTATGGGTTTCCCCTGGGTGCTCCCACAAACTGTGTAAAATGACAATTATAAATTTACAAACGTGGATGAAATGGCCAGAAACATTTATTTCGTTGGGTCATCTGTGTGCGTCAGCTGCCACAAATTGATATCTCAGATATTCAGGAAACTTGTGATACCCTTTAACCTTGAACTCTGAGATGCTGGATAACATTTGAGTCCTAATTCGGAAACACACAGGAACTAAATCCTCCCATTCGAAACACCATTCAGCAGTGTTCATTTCAGAGCACAACAATGGGACGACACGCTATTGTCCCAGATTCAAACTACTCCCATTTCGCCTCTGCAAAATTTGTGCTATTCTGGTGGAGCTGGAGCCGGTGTCGCCCCCCCCACCTCCGACTGACGTCATCAGTCGTCATGTAGATGAGGTCAGGATATGAGGACGAGGACGACGGGAAGGGGGTGTTTATAGGAAGGCCTGCTCGCTGACCTTGTGGCCGCAATCAGAAATAATGAGCCAGTGTGATTTATTGTGTCGAGGTCTGGTATGCTCGGCCTTTCCGAACACGGGGCCTGGGTCTCCATTGTCAGCCACACACAAAGAAGGGAAGATGTAGTTCTTTAAAAGTGAAGACTGTCCCCGGGAAGATGAGTCAAGAACAAACTCTTGCATTCCTCGCTGCCGGCCCCAGCAAATGCCTACTGCACTCCGCACAAACACTGACACGGGGTCATGTTTCTGCAGGACACTATGTGCTTCGATCAGTCTCCATCCATGTTGTTTTTTTCCTCCACTGTTGTCCATTTGGGACAGTAGACAAGGCTTCTGCAGTTTGGTGTGATTCTTGATGTTGACTTTTCTTTGGAGGTGTTTTTCCTGCAGGGCATCTCTGAAAGTCCAGAGATCAGCATTGAGACACGGTCAGTTTGAAAACTCTAAGTAGAAAACAGGTCGTAGGATCTGTTAGGATTCGCCTGTGTTTTGGAGGATGCGGGCCCTCGGCTGTCCTTCCTGTTTGAGGGGCCGTAGTTCATCCCCTCCTGACCACCTGCTTGGCTGTTTCCTGCCTCTGTTTGCTCAGCTCAGACTTTCTGACCAAACACACAAATAAAAGCTGATATTTGGTGGAAGCTCTGCTGCTGACTTGGAGAAGAAAGCAAATAAAAATGGACATAAAACAGACCCTTCCTGTGGCGTCAAACCAAACGTTCCTCAAGCCTCTTGGGAACCATTATTTGAGCAGCCGAGGTGTTTTTGGTAAACACGCATTTCTTTGCAAAGGTGCTCGGCCTTTAGCAAACACCTCGCTATCAAATCGTGCGATTACACAGACACGCACAACTTGATCAAAAACAAGCAGCTGCTATTGACCTTCCTGCTTCCCGTCATTGTCATGGAGAGGAAGATGAGTGCGTGTGTGTAGAGCGGCATATATGAACACCAGGACATTGAGGTCATATGGTGGAGATGTAAACAAAGAGGATGCAGAGTGGACGCCACAGGAGACAAATGATGAGCCTTTGACCCACTCGCAGACACGCTTGGCCCACTGATGCACTTGAGGACCGCTGCTTTGTCTGTGTTTGCTCCACTTTTGACATGAGCAACCTGAGCTTTCTGTTAAATAACCTTTGAGAAGTTATGCTCTTGATTTCATCCAGTGTTGGCGAGTAACTAAGTAGTGATGCTACTACATTTGTCAGTAGTGTGACAGTAGTTTAGATGTATGCAAACGAATGCAGTTCCATAAAAGGGCAACTTTTATACTTAATTTTCCCTCAAAAGGTTTATAGTAGTACCTTAAGGGAATATATTTCTACTCTAGGGGCCATTACTAACAGTTTGCACCAGCGCAAAACATCTTTTGGCGTTAAAATAGTACTGTCAGGTTTTACCAAAGACGCGCAGTGAAGAATTAGTGCTGAAAAGGCATGGACATTTTTGCGCCCGAGCATATTGAATATGAATTTGTAGGAGTTTCCGTTTCAGACGTAAAATTTACGGGAGGAGAGTATTAAAATGAATCACGCAACGAGATTTACTAACGTTTGCACTTGTCAAATTACTGGTATTTGCGCCATTATTTAACGCCCCAAAAAAGCATGTCTTAAACTATTTTGCGCTTGAAATGCCTGCAATTGTTGTTGCTAGAGGAGGCACAGCAGAGAACAGAGAGCACGTGGTAGAAGGGAGAGGATTTTTTTCCACACGTATTAATTTATTTGGAATGCCAGAAGAACACATTATCTGAACATATTGTTTGCCAAGCCATGTTATTTTTAATTTGCTTCAGGAAATAAAAGACGACTTGGAACTCTCAACTAGGAGTCACGCAATACCAGATCTATCAAAACTTCTTGCAACCCTTCATATTTTGGCCTCCGGTTCTTTTCAATGTACTGTGGCTTCTTTATTTCTTTATTCTTTATTTGCGACTACGCTAATTTGCACTGCACTTGGTATATTGCGTTGGTCGATATGTAAATGAGATGTTGTGGCTGTGTTCTTTAATTTGCGTGTTATTAGTAAATCACCTGCAGAAATTTCCACGCCCATCGGTGCTGTTTTGGAATTGCGCTTTCACGCTAATTTGCCCTGTTTAGTAAAACTGGCCCTAAATGTGTCTTTACACAACCAAGTTAAGACTGCTCAAAATTCTGTGTAAAGATTCAATGCTGCATAAAAGCCAGGCTAAACTGAGTGCTCTGACCCACCTCAGCCCCTAGTATCAAAGTATTTTATATATAAAGGTACAGTTGCTGTGCACTGTAAATACATTTGTGCCACCTCTGAGCAGCATTAAACGGTCTGTGTAAAGGCACCTAAAGGTACTAACATGCACCTTTTAGGGTGCTAGTTAGAGTACAGAGAGTATTGCTGTAGTGACAAGGTGTTGAAAGGATTTTTTTTCTGACAGTGAAGCATCCCCCCCCCCAATACACTACATTAGCTTCACAACCAAATAAACAAGGCAACAATCAAATGCTCAAAGTAAAGAAAAAAGGAAAATGGTTCATCTGGACAGTCTCTGTAACATTTTACATTTTCTTTCCTTTCTCTCTTCTTTCTTTTTTTGTGGGAACAAAATTTATATAATACTTATTTTACAAAAAAAAGTTGAATGTGTAATTTACTTTTTAGTTGTGTAATATTTTATGATAGCACAGGAATCTCTTTCATCCCTCTTGCAGAATATATTTCACTGGTTGAGCTAAGATGAAATAAAGATTTCACCATAATGAGAACACTTTAATTTTAAGCATCCTATAAGGGTTTGATTTATAAATAAATGATCAGTAACAAATGTCTTTTGCTGAGAAACATGTGAATGACTAATCTTCAGTGCGTGCAGCTCTGATCTGCTCAGAATGTTCTGATCAATTTTGCAATAGAATGTAATGTAAATGCATTAAAATGTTTATAAAATTTATATTAATAAACATATTTAATTAACTGCATGTGTTAAAGTATTTTGACAGCCTTGAGATATACTGTAAACCTGGGCTCTTCAATTCCAGTGCTGGAGGGCCTTGCTCAGTTTAACTCTAACCTTAACCAAACACACCCAAACAAGCTAATAAAGGTGTTCAGAGTTGCTTGCAAATGACAGAAACCTTGGTGGGTTAAATTGGGATTGGAACTACAGTCTGCAGAACACTGGCCAATCAAGACTGGAGTTAAGGAGCGCTGCTCTAGGGCATGGTTTTCCGTAAAGTGTGTATTGTGAAAAGCACTATATTAATACAACTGACTTAACTTGATGGTCTCAGTAACTTTCTTGTAGTTAGCTAGAAGCTTTTAGTGTAGCTAGCTACCTTTAAGGTAGCTTCTTTCAGAGTAATTTCTACTCTACGTAATGACTAGCTTGTAGCTTGACAAACTACAGATTCACAATACCTTCCTCGACACTGATGTCATCTAATGCTAACTGGCATACTGTGCCTATAGAACACTGATGTGGAAATTAAGTAGAGCTAAATCTGGGGGTGTAATTCTTGCTTTGGGGTGCGAGAGGTCCCGAGTTCAAATCCCGGACGAGCCCCCAATTTCTTACTGCTGCGGTCTGACCTAGATATCACTTTTAACTGAACCATGGGGAAAATCAATTTACAAAGGCATGTTAACAATGGTCTTTCACTGAATGAGGGAAAGCAGTGACTTCTGAACTGAATATTTGCTCTGTTTCAGATCCGTGTTTTGAGTTCGGACTCTCGGCTGTTCTGGGAATCGCATTCGGAGGATTTCTGATTGGAGTTCTCCTCACCGGTGCTTTATGGTTCATTAAGATACGAACAGGTGAGTTACAGACATTTGGAATGAGTTATGTTTAGCAGAGCTTATGACTTATTTAAATACTCAAGCGTGAGAAGATGTATTTGGTAGAGTTTTCTCTGCTTCTTTAGCTTATGAGGGAAGAGGTGGAGAGAGCAGCTCTAACAAGCCTCGCGATGATTTCCAACTAGAAATAAGATGAAGCAGTTAAGTAAGGCCGCTGCCGCAGTACCTCCAGACTGATGAGCTGTTCTTGTCTTGAAGGGACTTTTTGACACGTTCTGAATATAAGTGATCCATTTATGAGTTTATAATCAATGATAACGTCCTGATCTCATGTGTGCATGTGTTTCAGGGCATGCTGTGGCTCTGGGAATGAGATCAACGGCGGCCGAGCTCTCAGGTAAACTGAACTCTAAACGAGTCAATCTTTTCCTCAGCACACATCCTCTACTCCTTTCCTGTCGCATTTCCTTTTCACGGTATGATCGCCTCACTCGATAGTTGCCGTGGAAATCTGTTTTTGTTTATTTCACTCAAGATTCCCTGTGTCTTTTGTCCAGTCCTCTCTATATCCGGATGCCCATGTGGTTTGACCAAACGGCAGCCAGTGCCCACCCACCCGTCTCCCTCCGAGAACAGCAGCGCCAACGCCAGCATTGGCAGCACCCAGAGCACACCCACCAGCAGCATGGCATAACGCCGTCGCCCCTCCGCTCCTAACGCTCTCTCCCTCTTGAAGCCATCTCGCTCCACGTGTCCCATCGTCCCGAGCGAGAGAAAAAGAGGGGCAGTAGCAATCCTGAAATGTTCCCTGTACCTCAGAATACTCCATTCGCTTTCCCGGCTACGGGAAGTCAGTGGGGACGAAGAACAAAAAAAGAAAAAGCTTGGCTCCCAGAGACAGGAAAAACAACGCATAACCCCCAGGAACTAACAGGAAATTCGTCGCATTCTTGCGCCGGTGCCTCTCTGATGGAGGCGAACTAAGATTTCACAGACAAACAGCAGTCTGACGCATCAGTTCGCTTTCAGACGCGGCTAAATGTGGCTCAAAGAGGCGACTGAACAAACGTCAGACCACCCCACCCCACCCACCAGTTCTTACTGAAAAGGCTGTCTCACATCGGACAGATTGGGAAATGGCTACCTCTGAGTCTCTGTGGATGTAGATTTGTTTTATATTTGTTTGACCATAACTAGAAACAGTTGCTGAATCTCATGAAATCTGCCAAAACATGTCCTATTTAACCCCCAAATCAATAGAAATACAGAAGCAGTACCTTTTTTAGCAATGTGACATTTTCTGATGCAGAGATAAATGATCTAATTCTTATTACTGATATGTAAATAAAATAAATAAATAAATATATATATATATATATATAT